TTATAGCGGCTCGAGCCGAGCTTTCGCGAGCCGGCTCGTGAGGCTCGCGAGCCGGCTCGGCTTATGCGGAGCTTTAACATCAACTGACAACTACGGAAATAGTAGTAGATTTACTTAATGATGCTGAAAATAAAGGTCCTGAAATACATGGACAAATAATCATTTCTAAAAGATATTCTCCTAAAGTCACATAAATTTTCTTAGCAAAAACCGTTCCCTTAGGGAACGATCAGCCAAAGTAACTTATATATTTTACTTGACTGTTTCTATATACTATATACTAATGAACTTTTGAATATTTCTATTCTTATATAAAATTTATCAATATCAAACACTCAATCTAACGATTCATTAAGAAAATTAAATTTCAAGCTCTTAGCTGATATTGGCGAACTTAGGAAGAAGTTTGCTGAGATTAAGATCGAAAATGATGAGTTTAAGAATATGAATACTGAGATCCCTGAACTTAGAAGGAAGTTCAAGGCTAAGAGAGTTGAACTTAAGGTCAGGATTGCTGAACTTCTAAAACAGGGTGTGGAAGAAAACAAGAGGCGTGATACTGAGAATGCTGAGCTCAAGATCAGAATCGAGGAGTTGAAGAAAAATAAGGCAGATTCTTCAACTGAGAATGTTAGGTGTGATGTTGAGATTACTGAGATTAAGGCTGAAATAGTGAAACTAAAGGACAATAATGAAGAGAACAAAGAGTTAACCTTCCTTTAAACAGATAATATTTCTAAAGAAATGGTTTTAGAAAATAGTAGAACAATAATACTATAGATTCGAACACTAACACAATGAATTCAAATACTAGCGAAGCATCTTTTGGCAATATTCAGATATTTGATTCTGTAATAAACCAGCTAAATAATGAAGTAGGACAAGCAGTTACCTCTGGTGATACATCTAGTAATAATGCTAATACTGAATTATTGGAAGATAAAGAAACTGATGATTTCTTGGATAAGATACATAAGAAAAAAATAAGTGATAAGATTAGAGAGAGAAAGTAGGAGGAAAAACTATATTGTGAATCGATTGCTCAGGTCTCAATTATTTCTAACTCATCATGTAATACAAAAATCGTTCCCTTAAGAAATGATTAAAGTCATGTGATTTTGAAAACTGAAGTATCTGTAAAACAAGATGATGACATGATTTCAGAGGAATCGCTTGATGAAAATCATATCGTAGAACAAGGCTTAATACATGAATTATGTTCATCCATATTACCTGAATATAATATTAACTCTACTAATATTACTGACCCTTACGTTAGTTTAGAGAATATAGTTTTGGGTTCTGCCCAGCATTTATCTTATTTATTTGAAATAGCAATAAAATCCAGTCAGCAGGAAATATTAGTTTAGTACAATTATTCTGTTAAATTTGAGAGCAAGGTAGATGCTCTTATGGCTGATGGTAGAATTAAGGATAAAACAGCAAGATCAATGATTTATAAAGAAATGAAACAATTTCTCCTTACTAAAATCATACAAGCTAACTTGCGCAAAAAACTCATAGGGCTAGAAAACATCTCATGTTATTTGGAAAAAATGAAGTTGGAATAAATAAAATTAAGCAGATCTCATATAGCGTAACTGAGATTTCGTAACTAACTAATGCACAAATCCAAAATATTATAGATCAAGTAAAAAAATATACTAGTATTCATCAGAGTTATGTGACTTTAAAAACTGTTCCTTTGAGGAACGATCAGATTTAAATACATCAGCAAATATATTATCAGAATCTCAATCTAAACTAACTTATGACCACACCTATTTTCGTAACAAAACATTAAATCAATATCCTAATTTGTATAAAGAATTTAGTAGTGAAAATTTGATTATTATGGTATTACTGATGAGAAATTATGCCTATCATGCAAGTTAGATCATAATGATGAAGAAAGTATAGAAGGTTGATATAAGATTGGATCCTATTTTATTAAATGTGAACAACGTGAAATAGAGATAACTGCATAATTCACTTGATCAGAAGTGCATTGCATAATACTACATTTGCTTACACTTCATTATGTGATATTTTTTTACAGGTCAACTACTATCCAATTAAATTTAAATTTATTTATATAAAAAGCAACATGACTAAGTTCGATAAAATATTAACTCCCAAATATCTGGATTGGCATGCCAAATTAAGTGGGTTACCAAGCATTTTGACAGATAAGATTTGTTTCAATTTATACAAAAGATATAAAAAAGAAACTGGGTATGAGCCATGACAACTATCAAAAGCGCGTGCATCAGAAGCCAGCCTTCTCATAAATTCGAAGCCAGAAAACAAAGCATCCTATTTATCTTTTTCTGAGCAATGTGAAGAAAAAAGACCTATCACTTTCGAAGCCAAACCTGATTCAGAGTTAATTATCAAATCTGTCTTAAAGTATTTCACATACCTGAAATTCTGAAATAGTTTCAAAGGGATTGATAATTATAATTTTGCATCACCTCAGTCATGGATCTCACCATGCCCTATTTGCAATGAAAAATATGGAAATTATGGATTACATGGTGAATGGTATAGAAATGAAATGGAATATTATCTTACCTGCAATACTTCAAGCAATAAACTCAAATTCGCAGTCATAGCTATGTGATGGCATTGTTGACATTATTCCGCAGTATGAAAAAAATATGTATTTTTTGTTTACAATCAATAAAGCTAAGGTATATTAAGCACAATATATTTATATGTATCTGGTATGTGTTGAGAATAGCGTGGGATTGTATTTGTATGCTAATATTTCTTGATCAGTTTTTCATCTGAAGATAAAATTTTGATAAATACGCAGTATCATTAAGATAGATCATCATATTTCACGAGAGCAAATCATTGCACCATTATTCTCAAAATTTCCCGTATATACTCAAGCTTTTGCATGTATTTGATAATTAAAAAAACCTCTTGTTGATTCAGAAACACGATCCCAGTGTCTATTATAATTTAAAAAGTATCTGTTGATCTGATTTTTATGATGAATCATAATAATGTCATTTCCCTTGAAGATTTATTCCAAAAATCAATTCTTAAACTCACTACAAATTATATAAAAAGGTGAGGCCTTAATTAGTGAATCCTTTTATCCGCCTTGTGCAAATAATGCAGGAAAAAAATCAAAAGAAATATTCAAACTTATCATTATTAACATCAACAATATCAACATTCAATCAAATGAGTATATTCACAAAATAATAACAAAGTTAGTTTGTTTGATTTCTTGGCTTGATTCTAGAAAATCGTCATCACAATACTAATTATTTTTTTTCCTGGTTTTATGATAAAAAAATCTTTGATCGCTGTCACATGTCTAAATGTAGTATTAATTTCTGTCACCAGATTTTTGTCACATGTCGAGATATAGTGTTATAGGAGAACTATCACGTGATTGGTTGATCAATTTCAATTGCATTTATACAGTTTAAAGTACTTTTCTTAGAATATAATGTTTCATTAATATCAATCGCCACAATTATCATTTATAGCTTTAAATGAGCGTCAACATTCATTATGCAAAAGAATTTCGAAAAGATCTTAAACCTCATATACTTTACTTAGAAGACAAAGATGCTACCAGTTATTACTAATAAAGGATCTTGTGTGATCGCTATATGCAAGAAAAAATCGTCTAACTAAAAAACTGTAACTGAATATGTTGTTTCCAAAGGTCAAGCTAATAAAACTTTACCTATTTATATTCAAGTAGACGATTCAATTTGCTTAAATTGTTACAATAGAATTGTGACAATGTATACAGCTAAATTCCAATAACATGCCAAAACTGAATTTAAAAATTCCCAAATAGAACAACTTGAAACTGACGAAATTAATGAAAACAAAAGTACCAACAATTTATCCTTTTCTGAA